GTCTGTAAACTTTTACCTGAAGCATAATTAAAATAAATACATAAAAATGAACCAGTATTTTAGGAAAAGAAAAGTGAATTGTGTGGATTCCTTCTTGAAACCACTGGATTTCTTTTTCAAAGAAGTTTTGATAGTGACGTTCTCAAGACCTGCTCCTGGTTTTACGAGCGCCTAACACCCCGCCCCCGATCATCTCCTCTTCTCACAGGCTTGCTCCAGCATGACCTAAACAGATACGCCTGCCTTCCGAGACCAGAGACCAATCAGGATGAAAAAGTGTTCTTATGCGCACAATTTTTTATTATCAATTACAAATCTGTCCTTGAATTAAAAACCCTATTTTTACTTTACATAATTTGTTTAGGCAACAAGCTATTTTTTAACTAGTTTTAGATGAGCTAATTTAGATTAACTTTTAAAAGAATTCATTTAAGCAATAAACTAATTGTATTTGGGTCTAAATAAAATATAGTTAGGAAGATAAATCTGCACGTAGTACAGAGTCAGTCCTCAAAAAATATTTGTTACACAAATGAAGAAAATTCTGTCAATATTTTTACAATCACAGAATTAAATCGTTGGGAAAGACCTGTTGTTAGCATTGTCAGGTGCCGTCAAGTTGGTTCTGACTCATAGTGATCCTATGTACAACAGAACAAAACACTGCCTGGTCCTGGACCATCCTCACAATCGTTGCTGTGTTTCAGCCTATTGTTGCAGCCACTGTGTCAATCCATGTCATTGAGGGTCGTCTCTTCTTCACTGATCCTCTACTTTACCAAGCATGATGTCCTTCTCCAGCAACTGGTCCCTCCTGATAACATGTCCAAATGTGACACACAATCTCACCATCCTCGCTTCTAAGGAGGATTCTGGCTGTACTTCTTCCGGACTAGACTAGAGACTAGAAAAAAACTAGGGACTTTATATGTAGTACCCTTTGATTTTAAGAAGAAATTAAAGTCCAAAGAAAGCAAATGACTTGTCTAAGGTCATAAGAAAGTGAGTAGCAATGATCAAGATCAAAACATAACTGTCAGTTTAAAGCTAAACTTATTTTCTGATCGTCTTTGAGATCCTTAAGGCTACAGCTCATCTCCATTAACATGGTGAACTGACATATTAATTGGGTTCTTTTTCTTTTTATTGTACTTTAGATGAAGGTTTACAGAACAAATAGTTTCTCATTAAACAGTCAGTACACATACTGTTTTATGGCATTGGTTAACAACCCCCACGACATGTCAACACTCTCCCTTCTTGATCTTGGAGGACCTTTTTTTTTTTTGGTGAAAATATACATAGCCAAAGATATACTATTTCAAAAATTTCTACATGTACAATTCAGTGACATTGATTACGTTCTTCCAGTTGGGCTGCTATCCTCACTGTCCTTTTCCAAATTATTCCATCACCAATGTCTTCAACTCACTGTCCTCTACTTCCCAACAAACCTTTTGAGTTGCTGTTGTCAGTTTGATCTCACATAATTTTTTTTTGTACTTTAGATGAACGTTTACAGAACAAAATAGTTTCTCATTAAACAGTACACATATTGCCCTATGACAATGGTTAACAACTCCACAACATGTCAACACTGCACTGTCCTTTCTCAACCCTGGGTTCCCTATCACCAGCTTTCCTGTCCCCTCCTGCCTTCTAGTCCTTGTCCCTGGACTGCTGTGCCTCGTTAGTCCCAATTTGTTTTATGGGGCTGTCCAATCCCTGGCTGAATGGTGAACCTCAGGAGTGACTCCACCACTGTGCTAAAAGGGTGTCTGGGGGCCATACTCTCGGGGTTTCTCCAGTCTCTGTCAGGCCGGTAAATCTGGTCTTTTTTTGTGTTGACACCTTAATCGGAAAAAAGATAAATGTTCTATTTAATTTTATATTTAACCAAAAGAACCTATTATTCGCAGCAGATAAGAAAATCAGAACACAGATGGAGGAAGACCCCAACTGTACAAACAAGGAAATGTAAGAGGTGGTATGGATTTTATTTTACTGGTCTTAATCGTCAAATTAAAATTCTGTAGATTCTTCTAAACACGACAACGAATGCACGAGCAGCAGAAAACAGAAGAGACGATTGGGGCCACATCCCAGTTAGATTCTGATGCTCATCAAGACTTTACAAAAGAGCAGGGACAACCTACAGACTGGGAAAAAAATCCGTGGGAATGATATAACCAGTAAGGGTTTAATACCTAAAATATACAGAAAACAGAAGAGATGATTGGGGCCACGTCCCAGTTAGATTCTGATGCTCATCAAGACTTTATCAAAAGAGCAGGGACAACCCACATACTGGGAAAAAATCCGTGGGAATTATATAACCAGTAAGAGTTTAATACCCAAAATATACAGAAAACTTCTACAGCTTAACAACAGAGACACAAAAAACCCAACGAAAAACTAAACAAAGGACACGAACAGACACTTCGCCAAAGAGAATATTCAAATACCCAACAGACAGATGAAAAGATGCCCGACATCATTAGCCAGCAGAGAAATGCAACTCAAAGCTACAATGAGAAACCATTTCACTCCCACTAGGATGGCTAAGAGAAATAAATAAAGGAAAATAACAAGAGTTGGAGGGAATGTGGAGAAATTGGAACCCTCATCCATTGTTGGTGGGAATGCAAAATGGTACAGCCATTGTTGAAATCAGTCTGGCGGTTCCTCAAAAAAACTAGAGGTAGAGCTGCCATATGACCCAGCAATTCTACTCCTAAGTATATACCCTAGGGATCTAACAGAAGTGACATGGACACACATGCACGCCTATGTTCACTGCAGCACTATTCACAATAGCAAAAAGATGGAAACAACCGAGGTGCCCATTAACGGATGAATGGATAAGTAAAATGTGAAAAAATACATACAACTGAATATTACTCAGTTATTAAAAAAAATGAGTTCCCAGAACATCTTGGAACTTGAAGGATATTATGTTGAATGAAATAAGTCAATCACAAAAAAACAAATACTGTACGTTCTCACTTTTATTAAATGACATGAATAGGTAAATATACAGAAACTAATGTTCATTAGTGGTTGTGGGGGGGGGGGGAAGTACCCCTTAGGTAGTAGTCACTTTTTGTTTATGGAAATGGGAAAGGGGGCACCAAACATGTGTGAAGTTGGCACAGCATGACCGATGTAACTGATGTCAATAAGCTGTACACGGGGAAAAGGGATGAATGGGCAAATGCTAGACTGGGTATGGTTTTACAACCACCACCACCACCAAAAAAGGCAGGGGCTACAGATGCTGATACTAATTAGACATATTCAATCACCTCATGGGATTAGTTCTCTTGGTTTGGGGGCTTAGGGCCGTGGTCTTGTGGGATAATCCCGTCAACTGGCATAATGTTTATGTTCTACCTCCCAGTATGGTGAGTAGTGTCTGGGGTCTTAAGAGCTTACCAGTGGCCACCTAAGATACAACTACTGGTCTTTATTCATCTGTAAGAAAAGAGGAAGAAGGAAATCCAGGAGCCACAAGGAACCAGACTACAGGCCTAACTGTCTACATGCACCACTGCCTCCTCCATCTTGAGACCAGAAGGACTAAATGGTGCCTGGCCACCACAACTGAACATTCTGTTCAGGAACAAAATAGAGAAATTCTGGTTAAAAAAGGAAGAAAAATGTGGAACAGAAATTCAAATTCTTAAAGAATTCAGACCTACTGAACCTACTGAGTCTGGAGGAGTCCCCGAGACCATGGCCCTGAGTTGTTCTTCAAACCCTGAATTTAAACTATCCCCTGAAGTCACCTTTGAACTAAATTAACAGTTTAGCCCAAACAGGAAAGATTGTCACCCTTGAGTACTGTGTTTCTTTAAAAAAAATCTATATAAGACCAAAGGGTCAAAAGCTATTTTAAAGCATAGAAGGTTGGGGAGGGGGGAAGGAGATTAAGTAAACGGTAGTGAAACAACTAGAACAGAAATAATGAGAATACTGATGCAATGTGAAGAATTTATCCAGCGTCACTGATCATCATGTCTCGAAACTGGGGAACAGGGGCAGGTTTTTGGCGTATATTTGCATGGATCTGGCAGAGGGAGATATCGGCTGTGTATATTTTCACCAAAATGAAAATTTAAAAAAAAGAAAAAAAAATTTACAGATGCTTTTGTAATAGAAATAGATATAAACAAACTTGTAAAATAAAATTATCAAAAATATTTATATTTTAAAATTAACATTTATTGAGAGAAAAATATGCCACAGGCTCTGTTCCAAGTACTTTACATATTTTATCCTCATACATTTAATCTCCACGACAACACGATGAGGTAAAGAATAGTCCTGTAATACCCATCTGACAAATGTACAAATGGAGGCACAGAGAAGTAACCTGTCTAAGATAACACAGGATTAAAACCCAGGTAATCTGGCACCAGAGCCCATGGTCTTAACCATCCTGATATACTGTTTTAAATCCTACTATGACTTTTTTAATAAAATACATTTTATAAAAACCTAACATTTAGTTTTTAAGACGTAAGGAGCCCTGGTGTCACAATGGTTAACGCATTCGGCTGCTAAGAAAGGCTAGTGCTTCGAACCCACCAGCAGCGACTCAGGAGGAAAGACCTGGCAATCTGCTCCCGTAAAGATTACAGCTTATGAAACATCGTGGGCAGTTCTACCCTGTCACGCAGGGTCACTATGAGTCAAAATCCACTCAACAGTATACAACAACAACATCTGAGATGTAGTTAAAGCTCAAGATGTTTATGTAACAGTTATTATCACATTTTGGCTATATCACTGTTTAGAGGTGAAGGAGAGAAAAGCACCCACCATGGTAATTAGAAAAGGGCATCCAAGTCCATCTCCATCATCATTATCATCTGTATTTTTCCATTATTGCAGACAAAATTTTTGATGACAAATTCTGTTGCCAGTGTGTCTTAGATATACTAATGAAGCATAAAAAATCTATTCTTGGGACTTTTCCATACTTTTTTGTTGCCTACCTGAAATCCATGCTTGCCTCTCCACCACGTGCTCAGTACTTTGGGGGGCATGTCAATAACAGAAACAATGTCTCCCACCTAGGACAAACAAAATTTTAAACACAATGTTTTTAGACATATTTTAAACCAAGTGTTACGTTTAGAATTTAAATGAGAACTCAACGAAAGAGTGAAGTATTATCTTACTCTCTGGCTAATAACAGCTGGAAAAACACACTGCCTCTTTCTTTGAAGTATCAATAATCTTCCCTTTTCTTAACACGAGGTCTACAAAGAGCTTAGCAGCACAGAGGCTGTGATCCAGCTAACAGGTGCAGTAACTTCAGAAAGTCAGATTTCTAACACACCATTTCTGAATGACAGGTATCATACCATCATCACTTCTGCTATTCTCTTACTGCTGACACTATCAGATTCTCTAGCTTTAAATACTTCTCTTTAGAAAAAATGGAAGTTCCTATTAATACTACATTTAGTGAGTGCTTACTGTGTGCCAAGCACCATGCTGAACACCTGACATATCTTAATCATATAGAAAAAGGCCTACGATGTCTAAAATTTCTGGGTTATTCTTAGTAAGTGGAAAATTTGATGACTACTATACTTCTTTCAAGAGCCCTGGTGGCACAATGGTTAAAGCACTCAGCTGCTAACCGAAAGGTCGGTGGTTTGAATCCATCAGGCGCTCGGAACCCACCAGCTGCTCCACAGGAGAAAGATGTGACAGTCAGCTTCCTTAAAGATTCACAAAACCCTATGGGGCACTTCTACTCTGTCCTATAGGGTCGCTGAGTTGGAACTGACTCGACCACAACAGATTTTATACTTCTTTCAATCGATGGTACACTGTAACATTTTTACTAAATAGCTTACTTTCTTCACGGTAAAAGACAACGTAGTGAGTTTTTATGAACTTGTAAGAAGTTATAAATATAAGAATTACAATAATAGTTTTTAATAATATATTAATTGAAGTTGTATTCTTCAACCAGAGTATGTGATACTACCTACAACATAGTTGAGCTATGTTACTAACGTACACTATATTCTTTTAGGAATTTTTCTTTGTTTATTTACAACTGGTTTTTCAAGTCTTAAATAAGCCATCTTCATAAAGCCCTATTTGCTAACAGACATGGCATCTTTCAAGACCTACATTCCTTTATGTACAGAACCTGAAAGTTTAGTTTGAGAGCAGTTCAAATTCTATGCAGTAACAAACTTAGACTGTTATTTCTTAAACTAAGTAACTGTCAGCATTTTCTTTGTCTCTCACCAGCCAATATTTATTTTTAGAGGGAGAAACTTAATTCCTCTCCTTTTGCATCTGATAGCAATAAATGTTCATTTCACCTTTTACCTGTTGTTTTGCTCAGCCTTTCCGCAAACATTGAGAAGAAGTTATCATTGGCTATAACACAAAGACCAAAGACTCAGACCTTACTCTCCAGACGATCACTGTTTACAGGAAGATAAACAGGAGAACAGCTAGGATTAAATGTAGTAGGTGATATGTCACACATAGACTATGGGCACACTTCAGAATGACACTCAATTCAGGCTTTTTGGGGGGTGTACGTATTTGCGTGGATTTGGGGGAGGGAGATCAGGGATGACATCCCAGAAGAAATGAGAAGCAAAGGCTGAGTTTCCCAGCACGAGCACAGTCTTTTAACAAACATAGAGGGCATTCCAGGCTGAAAGATAATGGACGTATAGAAAAGTCTGGAGAATAGGTTTCATTTTAATTAAGAAATGACTAAAACAGTTAATGATGAGGCTGGCTAGAGAGCAAGTACCAGATGACAAAGACCAGTCTGAGTTATTTACCTCTAAGGTCAGCTCGTCTGGGGCCCGAGCAGTGTACCTCTTGATAACGTGGGCAGCGCCAACGGCAGGTGTGTTAATGGATGATTCCTCATGAACTAGAAGGTGGTTCCCCTTGTTATCAATCTGTAACAGAGAAAATGCACTATGAGACACTTAACAGCATGGGAATGATGCTTCTGTGACTATTTACAAAACTTCAAGTTCGTTTAGGGAGCCACTTGACTCAAGGAGTCTTAAAAAACAACAACATTGAATATGCCAGTCACTGTGCTATGCATGCAACGATATGATTTAATTTAATCCTCATAATTCTAAAATGTAATTACTATCACCCTTATCACTGTTTAAAAGTGAAGATGCTAAATCTAAACGAGGTTGTGTAATTTATGAGAGATTAAATAATTTGTCCAAGATCACACAGCCAATAACGGAAGAGCCGAGATCTCAATGCAAGTCAGCCTGGTTCTAAGTTCTACATTCTTTCTACTTTTCATCCTGCCTTCCTAATTTGCACTGGAGGGAGAAAAGTAAACTATTAATATAACTCTACATACGTAAATTGAGAATAAATATCTACTACATTTACTGAAGGAGCCCTGGTAGTGCAGTGGTTAAGCACTCGTCTGCTAACTGAAAGGTCTGCAGTTCAAACTCACCAGCCACTGTGTGGGAGACAGCAGATCCAGTCTCCTTTCGTAAAGATCACAGCCTCGGAAACCCTATGTGGCAGTTCTACTCTGTATTACAGGGTTTGGTTTTTGGTTTATATTTACTAAATAATCATGTTTCACTCAAGACTTATTCTTACCCTGGACTCTTTAACAGGTTAATTGTCTTTTATCCATAAATGACTGAAAAATACTTCCAATTACTAAGTCAACTAAAAATACATATATGATACTTTACCTAATTAAACATACACATTAATAAACATCAAAATAACGAGTATTAACTGAGATTCATAAAATATATTCAAATAAGTTTTCTTGGGTATCAAAGAAAGATAGATTTGAGACAAAAAATATTTCCTATATCACATCGCTATCCCCCCCAGAAGATGAGAATAAACTTCATTTTTCTAATTCCTAAAACTCAATAGCTATTGAAATTCCCTCTTACATTAAATTACAAATTAAACTGCTTAAGTAGATAAATTTAATGTAAACTTTAGTAACAGTGCACTAGTAATACCTCCATCCAGGTAAGGGCAGGTCCACAGTTGATCTTGTTGCCAGCAATAGCTGAGAGACGTGCCAGGTAAGCCATAAGCATCTGAGTTACTGACTAAAAAGAAAGAGAAAGAATCAGTGGTAACTTACAGTACTAGGTTTCCTCGCAGATGAACTGGTGTAAATTGATTGTTTCTGAGGGAAAAAAATCTTCAGATTTTTAGGCATTTTAATAGTTACAGAGGATTCTCCACAGAGGCATAACACTTCTCTAAATTGAAGCTACAGGGAATTTACACAGTAATTCAGTTCCTGTTTCATTAGAACTTTATTAACCCCTTATAAGTAAGGTATTATAATGACACGTGCAAAGTGCTGGAGATAGAAAACCAGAAGGGAAGAACACATTTGCTGTTTCTCAAGCTGTAAGAACTGAAGAAAAAATTGAAACCTTGAGTTGCAATAATGAAGAATTCTATGTGGAAAATATTAAAAGACACAGGAAGCATCAAAAGAAGATGGAAGGAATACACAGAATTATAAACACCAAAAAGAACTGGTCGACGTTCAGTCATTTCAGGAGGTGGTATACGATCAGGAACTGATGGTACTGAAGGAAGACGTCCAAGCTGCACTGAAGGCACTGGTGAAAAACAAGGCTCCAGGAATTGACAGAATATCAACTGAGATGTTTCAACAAACAGATGATGCCTGAAGTGCTCACTTGTCTATGCCAAGAAACTCAGAAGGCAGCTACCTGGCCAAGCGACTGGAAAAGATCCATATTTATGCCTGTTCCAAAGAAGGTGATCCAACTGAATGCAGAAATTATTGAACAATATCATTAATATCACACACAAGTAAAATTTTGCTGAAGATCATTCAAAAGCAGCTGTAGTATTACGTTGACAGGAAACTGCTAGAAATTCAAGCCAGATTCAGAAGAGGACATAGAACTAGGGGTATCATTTTTGATGTCAGATGGATTCTGGATGAACGCAGAGAATACCAGAAAGATGTTTACCTGTGTTTTATTGACTATGCAAAGGCATTCAATTGTGTGGATAATAATAAATTATGGGTAACACTGCAAAGCATGGGAATTCCATAACACTTAATTGTGCTCATGAGGAACATGTACACAGATCAAGAGGCAGTTGTTCGAACAGAACAAGAGGATACTGCGTGGTTTAAAGTCAGGAAAGGTGCACATCAGGGTTGTATGCTTTCACCATACCTATTCAATCTGTCTGCTGAGCAAATAATCCAAGAAGCTGGACTCTACGAAGAACGGGGCATCAGGATTAGAGGAAGACTCGTTAACAACCTGCGATATGCAGGTGACACAACTTTGCTTGCTGAAAGTAAGGAGGGCTTGAAGCACTCACTGGTGAAGATCAAAGACCACAGCCTTCAGTATGGATTACACCTCAACATAAAGAAAACAAAAATCCTTACAACGGGACCAATAAGCAACATCATGATAAATGGAGAAAATATTGAAGTTGTCAAGGATTTCGTTTTACTTGGATCCACATTCAACACCCATGGAAGCAGCAGTCAAGAAATGAAAAGATGCATTGCATTGGGCAAATCTGCTGCAAAAGACCTCTTTAAAGTGTTGAAAAGCAAAGACATCACCTTGAAGACTAAGGTGCCCCTGACCCCAAGCCGTGGTGTTTGCGATCGCCTCATATGCATGCAAAAGCTGGGCAATAAATAAGAAAGACCAAAGAAGAATTGATGCCTCTGAATTATGATGTTGGTGAAGAATATTGAATGTACCATGGACTGCAGAAAGAACAAAACAAATCTGTCATGGAAGAAGTACAACCAGAATGCTCCTTAGAAGCAAGGATGGTGAGACTTTGTCTCACATACTTTGGACATGTTATTAGGAGGGGCCCGTCCCTGGAGAAGGACATCATGCTTGGTACAGTAGAGCGTCAGCGAAGAAGAGGAAGACCCTCAACTAGATGGACCGACACAGTGGCTGCAACAATGGGCTCAAGTAGAACAATGAATGTGAGGATGGTGTAGGACCGGGCAGTGTTTCATTCTGCTGTACACAGAGTCACTACGAGTCAGAACCAACTTGACAACACCTAACAACAACAACATAGCTTCTAATTTGATTCTCTCTTTTCATTTTTGTATCAAAAATGCAACAAGATAGTTATAGCAGATACATATTTGTTTGTTTTTTTCTGCCCTGTTACCCTGAAACTATTTTTTCCAGGTCATGGTTGTGGCAGGAGCTGCCAAATTCGTACATGATACTACACCACGGGCAGCTGTTTGGGCCGGGGACGTGATCAAACAAGAGTAAATGCGGAACAACTCAAGTGTCCATCAACAGATGAATGGATAAACAAAGTGTGGTATATATGTACAATGGAATATTATTCCGCCATAAAAAAGAACAAAGTCTTGATACATGTTACAGCATGAATGGACCTTGAAATATGATCTCATTTATATGAAATATCTAGACAGACAAATGTATAGACAGAAAGTAGATTAGTGATTATCGTGGGCTGGGGAGAGGCAGAAATGGGAGTTGTTGTTTAGTGAGTACAGAGTGTCTGTTTGGGGGGTGATGAAACATTTTTTAAACAAATAGTAGTGATGGTTGCACAGCACTGTGATTGTGATTAACGCCACTGGACTGCACACTTACAAATGGTTAAAATGGAAAATTTTACGTTGTGTATATTTTACCACAATTTAAAAAAAAAAAAAGTTATCCAGGAATGGGGAATTGTGCCACAAACTCCAGCTCAATCTGGCTGCTCTCTTAAAAGGAGGAGAAAGAAACTTGGGACCTACTGATAATGGCCATACTCTAAGGCAGTCTGAAAGAGAAAAATGAAACACAGGCAGATATGGGAAGTTTCTCTCAGATATACAAGAATCTGCAGTTTTGAGACATTCCTGAGTCCCTGCTGCAGTGTTGGTCGGTACGTGACCGATGACATCTCTCCTCTGCCCTACCCACTTACCTGACTTGGAATAAACTAAAGATTTGAAATTATTTCCCTTCAGAACTTGGAAATACCCCTGCGCTGTTTTCATGCATCCACTGTGCTGATGGGGAGTCTAATACCAATACAGTTGTTCTTCCTTTGAGAAAGTCTGCTTCTGCTTCATCAACTTCTAAGATTTTCTCTCTCTCCTGGCATTCTGATATTTCACTACAACATTTCTAATGTCTGTGAGTCTTTTCACCCAGTACATGTTAGCACTTCAAGAAATACGGTTCTAAGAGATTTTTTGAATTAATTTTTAATGATTTCCTTCTATCCACTCTCTCCTCCTGGAACTCCTATGAGAGGGAATTAGGAACTTGTGGATCTATTGTCCATGATTCTCAACTATTTCCTTGCAATATTTTTATCTTTTTTTCCATTTGGGGGGCTGTATTCGTGTAAATTACTTGGCTTAATCTTCCCACTCATTAATCCTTGCTTAAATCGTGTCTATTTTGAATGAAGTCCAGCTATTATATTAAGGTTTTCATTATGTAAATTACATTAACTTAAATAATCATATTTTCACTGCCCAGGTTCCTGATTATTTCAGTTTTATAAAAACCTGTTCCCCTTCCTGAATGTGACAGGATACGGATTATACTTCCGAAGGCCTTCTGTTCGCTCTGCTACTTTGTCAGCTGTCTTCTTTACTCAGTCTGGTGTCTCTCACTATTGGTTTTACTCAATCACGCAGCATTTCTTGGTGGAGCATTCATTTCTGTGTTTAAGATCTGTTACCTGTTTTCTCTGCAGTTATCCTCTGACACATTTTTAGGCTGTATTTCTCTCCCTTATAAATTTTATTCCATCTACTTTCAATGATTCCTCACAAGTTTTTGACTCTCTTATAGGACTTTTGTTTCCTGGTGCTATAAAGAATTTTTTCTTTTTTTAATTTAAAAACAAACTTTGATTTTTTTTAAGGAACTTTTACACAGGAGTGGTGGTAGCTGCATGGACGCAGCCTGCCTTCATGAACTAATCAGTGTTGTTATTTTAATACGTACTTCTTTGATTATTAGTGAGGTCAATGTTCTTCCAGATTTTTGCTTCCGTATTTCTTACCTTCTTTGGAGAATAGTCTGCCCATATATACTGCCCATTAATATACTGCATTACAAGGTATTTTTTCAGTATAAAATTATAGACTGGACATACTTTAATTATAAATACCCTACATAACATTACCAATTTTTCAGATACGAAACAGTTAAGTAATCCCAGAAATTATCCTATTCATAGTGCCCAGTAGAAGCTGTTATTTTAGTATAGAAACAAATTTCTCTGCCAATTCATAGAAAGCGATTACTTCTACAAAGTGCTAGATGCTTACCTCTGGACTATCCTTCAAGGCATCAGAACGGGGAAGCTCTGAGAGCTGGGAGAACCGTCGGTCATAAATGCATAAATGAAGATGTTTATCAAGTACCCGAAAATCTTCATAACTTCGTTTAACAATCCAACTTTTGCCCTATGAATAAGAAAAAAACACTCCCATTATTCATCTCTATTGGAAAATGTTTATGAATCAGGTGTTATTCTATAATGGTATTTTACTCATGAGGTTTCATATTTTCTAAGGAGAAGCTTCTGTTAACTTGACAGTAAATAGTTAAGCTCCAAAACACTCTAGAGAGTTACATTATGTTAAGTAGTCAATAACAGACAATGAGAACTCTCCACTAACCCTCTTCCTACCGCCTGTCAAAGACTACTGACCTTCTCTGAGAACAATAACTGCCAGACGGCAAGAGAGCGTGTGACCTGAACTCACAGAAAAAACCATAAAATAACTTTGGGTAGGAGAATATTATGTAAAATTGAATAAAACTAAAATCAGGTTATTTACCGAGATGGACGTATACTCAAAATCAAAACTACTAAAGCGTCATGTATAACCATTGCATATGCATATATTACCTAGAGCCCAATAGCTTTCTTCTCTTCTTTGCCCAATCTCATAAACTCATTAAAAATTAAAAAATCACACTCACAGAGCATAGTTATTAGATACTGTCTTCTAATTTTCTCTGGAATCTATCACTTCCTACTCAGTGTTACAGCCCGAGCTTTAGTAAACACAGTCATCATTTCTTACCTGACATACTGGCTAAGACTCCTTGCCTACAATTTCCTTCTCCGTCCTCCCAAATCCAAAACGCAAAGCTCATCAGGTCACAGAAGCTCCAGTGGTCAGCCATATTAGCAGTTCCTGACTGCGTACCATTTAACTGTGCAATTTAATCTAATTTTCTGCGGAAGCTCTCAGCCTATAAAAACGTGGAGGGACTGGGAGAAAAAGGCTCCAGTGCCACTGTCAGAACTGCAGGATCCATTTCAGGACAGCTCTTCCACATTTACCCCAGCCGGACGGGGAAGACGCAAAAGGGATCACTTCATGGGCGAGGTCCTGAATTCTAGCCACAGGTGTATCAAGAATTAACGATAAACTTGTCTAACCGCACTTTGGACCACATTTTTGTATTATAAAGTTGGGAAGCAATATCCACTCCCTCATTCGGAGTTATGAGGATGAAATCAGATAACAGACAATGCAGAGATTTTCAAAGTCTCTGGTCCCTGTTCTCCCTGATCCCTACTCTAAACCAACCAGCTGTCAGCAAGTCGACTCTGACCCATGTGTGTCAGAGTACAACTGTGCTCCATATGGTTTTCAATGGCCAATTCTTTGGAAGGAGATCACCAGGCCTTTCTTCCAAGGTGGTTCTGGGTGGACTTGAACCTCCAATCTCTCAGTCAGCAGTGAAGCACATTAAAGCACATTTACTGTTTGCACCGCCCAACCAGGAAAAACCACCAATCAGGTACCGTCAAGTGGCTTCTGACTCACAGCGCCTCGTGTGCTGCAGCACAGAACGGCACTCCAAAGGGTTTTCAAGGCTGTTACCTCTTGGAAGCAGACTGCCAGGCCTTCTCCCTAGGCACCTCTAAATAGGTTCAGACTGCCAAACTTTCAGTTAGTAACTGAGCGCTTAACCGTTTGTGCCACCCAGAGACTCCTTGCACCACCAAAGGCCGGCTAATTCAATAAGTCTGGAATGGGATCCAGTTGATTCTGACAATCAGCCTGAATCGGGACTCACTGGTCCACAGAATCACATTTGTGGCTTTCATCACCGAGGCCCCGTCTGAACGTCCAGCCTGATCTCAACCATTCCCCATCCATCAACCTTCCTAGGCTTCCAGTTATGCTGAATTAACTGCATTCTCCAGTCCATGAGGCACACCTCCTTCTCACCCCACCATGACTTTGTAAGTGTGTTCCTGCTGCCACGGACAACCTTTCAGGTACTTTCTGCTAAAGCAGACACCTTTGCTTCCTCAGTCCTACCGCCCACACCCGAAGCTTTCCCAGACCCCTGGGAACTAAATACTCCCTTTGCAGGCTAGAAAAACAAAACAAAATAAAAACAACGGGAAAGAAAAACCTCTTATCACGTAGTTGCAATTTTTTTCTTTCACACTTACACATATTTTTTAAATTATGCAACACTTCAAACATACAGAAAAGTACAAAAAATAATTTAACACATATCTATGTATTTATCACAGACATTAAACAGGTATCAATTTTTTATGTTTCAGAGTTCTGAAATTTCTTTTTTTTTTTAAACCAGTCGTTGCAATTATAAAGCCTCATCTTCTCTTCTATTCCCTTTCTAAAGCCAAGGACGGGAGCTGATATGCATCATTATTATGCATGTGTGTCTGTTTTTAGATCTTTATGATATATACTTCCATCCATAAACTATGTATATTCTTGTTTTAATTTTATATAAATAATATATCATTCACATCATTTTGGAGCTTGAAGTTTTAACTCAACATCATGTTGACATTTCTCCATGCTGATATACGTAGCTCAATTATTCAGTAACTGCTGAGGGGAATTCTACTGCAGAAACAAATACCAGTTTATCCTTCTATTCCTCTACAGAAAGGGAGCAGGTATTTTACACTTTCCATTATTGTAAGCAATGTTGCAATGAGCATGTTCATGCCTCTTCCTGCTCATTTGTGAGAAATTTTCCATAGTAGTTAGCTGGAACTGCTAGATCATACTGTATGATCATTATCAACTTTATTTCAAATTTGCCAACCTCGTCTCCAAAGTGATAATACCGATTTACTCACGCAATGTTACAGTTCTCATTTCCCCAAAATCCAGGCCAAACCTGGCATTATCAGACTTTTTATCAATTGGATAGTGCATGCAAACAGTGGACAGTGAATAAGGAAGACAAAGAATTGATGTCTTTGAATTATAGCGTTGGTGAATATTACTGAATATACCATGGACTTTCAGAAGAACGAACAAATCTGTCTTGGGAGAAGCACAGCCAGAATGCTCCAGAGAAGCAAGAATAGTAAGACTTCGTCTCACATACTTTGGACATGTTATCAGGAGGAGTCAGTTCCTGGAGAAGGCTATCATGGTTGCTAAAGAAGACAGTCAGCAAAAAAGAGGAAGACTCTCAATGAGATGGACTGACACAATGGCTGCAACAATGGGCTCAAGCATAACAATGATTGTGAGGATGGTGCAGGACTGGGCAGTGTTCTGTGTACAGAGGATCACTATGAGACAGAACCAACTCGACGGCACCTAATAATTGAATAGATGTGAAATTTTATCTTCTTTTAATTTGCCTTTCCTTGGTTACCAAAGAAGATTAGCATCTTTTCCCATGTTAATAATCATCCAGATTTCTATTCCTGATAAATACTTATACCTACCAGAACACTACTGCAATGAGCATGGGTGTGCATATATCTATTCCTGTGACAACTCTTATTTCTCTAGGATATATATGTAGGAGTGGGATGGCTGGATCATATGGTATTTCTATTTCTAGCTTTTTAAGGAGGTACCATAATGTTTTCCATAATGGTTACATCATTTTACATTCCCACCAGCAGTGCATAAGAGTTCCAATCTCCTCGCAACCTCTCCAACATTTGTTATTTTCTGTGGTTTTTTTTTTTTGGTTTGTCTTTTTGATTCATGCCAGTAACGCCAGCGTGAGATGGTATCCCATCGTAGTTTTGATTTGCATTTCTCTAATGGCTAATGATCCCAAGCATTTCCTCATGTGTCTGTTAGCTGCCTGAATGTCTTTTGTGGTGAAGTGTCTGTTCGTATCATTTGCCCATTTTCTAATTGGATTTGTCTTTTTGTTGTTGAGGTATTGAAGTATTCTACAGATTTTACAGATTAGATCCTTGTCAGATATGTCATAGCCAAAAATTTTTTCTCACACTCTAGGTTCTCTTTTTACTCTTTTGGTGAAGTCTTTTGATGAGCATATGTAATTTTTAGGAGCTCCCAGTTATTGAGTTTATCTTCTGAAGATTGTGCATTGTAGGTTATGGTTTGCATTCTATTTATGCCATGTATTAGGTTCCCTAGAGTTGTCCCTATTTTTTCTTCCATGACATTTATCGTTTTAGGTTTTATATTTAGGTCTGTGATCCATTTTGAGTTAGCTGTTATGCATGGTGTGAGGTATGGGGCCTGTTCCATTTTTTCACATATGGACATCCAGTTTTGCCAGTACCACTTGTTAAAAAGACTGTCTTTTCCCCATTTAATGGACTTTGGTCATTTGTCAAAGATCAGGTGACCACAGATGGATGGATTTACATCTGGGTTCTCGATTCTGTTCCACTGGTCTATGTGTCTGTCCTTGTACCAATACCACGCTGTTTTGACTACTGTGGCTGCATAGCAGGTTCTGAGATCAGGTAGGTGAGGACTCCTACTTTATACTTTTTCTTCAGTAATGCTTTGCTTATCCGGGCCTCTTATCCTTTTCACATAAAGTTGGTGACTAGTTTTTCCAACTCATTAGAGAATGCTGCTGGTATGTGGATCAGCATTGCACTGTATCTGTGGATCGCTTTGGGCAGGACTGACATTTTCAAAATGTTGAGTCTTCCTACTCATAAGCATGGTATATTTTTCCATTTTGGTAGGTCTCTTTTGGTTTCTTCTAATAGTGTACTGTAGTTTCCTTTGAATAGATCTTTTACATCCCTGGTTAGATTTATTCTTAAGTATTTTCTCTTTTTAGGGGCTATTATAAATGGTATTGTTTTCCTGATTTCCTTGTCAAAGTTCTCTTTTTTGGTGTATAGGAATCCAACAGATTTTTGTATACTCATCTTGTATCCTGCTACTCTTCTAAATCTTTCTACTAGTTCCAGTAGTTTTCTTGTGGAATCTTTGGGGTTCTCTATGTATAGGATCATATCATCTGCAAATAGGGACAGTGTTACATTTTCCTTTCCGATTTGGAATCCCTTTATTTCTTGTTCTTGCCTTACTGCTTTAGCTAGGACTTTCAGCACGGTGTTAAACTGGAGTAGTGATAAAGGGCATCCTTGTCTTGTTCCCATTCTCAGGGGAAATGCTTTCAGCCTCTCTCCATTGAGAATGATGTTGACTGT